CGAAAAGCACCATAGTTCTGTTCTCGGCAGCGCCTGGCGAGGGGTCCGTCCTCGGAGATCTCTACTCACAGCCCGGGATTCTACGAGCCGAGAGTGTATCTTTTGTTAGTAAGGCTTACCCCATTAACCGCCGCTTCGCCGGTTCTCTTTCTCTTCGGTCCTGAGATGGTCGTACTCTCTGCTTCTGCTTCCCGCGCGCGCTGGCGCTTCGCGGACGCTTCCGCCTCCTGCCTGTGCCATTTCCTCATGAACCATGCCGCCCCGTCCTCGACCTTGTTGTACCACACCTCCGAGTTCTTGGCGCTCTCTTTCCATTTCCCCCCTGTATCCAACAGCAATGTTCGCAGACTCACGAACAGACCAAGGGTTCTCACGTTTGTTTCCAGTTTTACACCGCCGCGCTTATGTAGGGGGACGTCGGTGCGGTAAATAGACACTCATGTCCCCATTTAGGTTTGTTTCCTAGTACTACAAAGGAGGGTTAAGAATCTACGCTTAAACCTATTCTGCGACCATTTGTAGCATGACCCTACTGTAGGAACTAAGAAGCCCAGCCTCGGCCGAAACTAGAGGTTCTTGTGCATACACACGTACGTTGGCCCGAAAAAAGCGGGGGAATACATTCCGGTTCATTGTTAATGTGTGGTTGCAGGAGGGGAGGGTGTGTTGGGGTTGTCTGCTGTGCGATCATCGATTTGTGCTGCGAGTTAATGGCGCATGCGAGTGGATCGAAGTAGCCTCTAGCAGCGCATCAACACGGCTATGGTTGCTGTCATGGTCTAGCAATGAAGTGGACACAGCAGGCTCGTGTATATTCACTCTGCCGCCGGATTGCTGGATTTTCACATCTATCTGTGAACCGCAACATACGTGGCGTTCCGCCGCGCCGCGGGTTGCTAATCTCTCTCCCTCTCTGTCTTGCCAGCCATCTGCGCCAGCCTTGGTTGGACACATTAGAAGGCGATGACCCATCCCCTTGGACCCCCTCGAAAACCTGTGGCCGTAACATTTACGGTACGTCAAATCGATGGGTGCATTCCTAACGCGCGTTTTATCGAATGCTGGCTTGTTTGAGTAGTGTAAAATGCTGCGTTGTTGGAATAGGGGTATGGGCAGAAAGTACCTAATCGACATCATTTCGCATTTGTTCGCGCCGTAGACACTGGCGTACAGCCCACCCCCGTGCCTCAGTAGCAGTGTATCGTCTACAACGTGTACCAGCTGTGCGCTTGCAGACAACCCTCGCTTGCAGAGTCGTCAATGGCACAGTACTTAAACATTCATAGTCTAAGATATTTTACCGCGCGAGTGCGTACACCAGGACTGCTGCGCGCGAAATACGCTACTCTGTGGCTCGGTAGAGCGACCCACTGCACACCAACCAAGCTGGGCAAGCGGTAGCCTTAGGATCGCCGTAGGTAAACATGTAGCTAGGCCTAGCGTCGTGGAGTAGCCTGATCCTCAACCTGCTACGTACATAGTTGCGTTTGTTTCGCATCTACAGTACCTCCAACATCGACCCAAAAACTATTGAAATGGTGTACGCAAGCAAAGGTCTCAGTCCTGGAGTACGCGCACCGGTTCGTCGCATTTGTTGTATGCCTCTATTCTCCGTATTTCACAGGGCCCGCGATTTTGTCGGCGATGAAGTTGTGAATACATTGAAGTATGAAATAGAAGAAATACTACAATTTGTAGCATGCCGTGACTACAACAACTTTGCAGGGACGTACGGCGCACGTACATCCAAATCAGTCTTGACTCCTGTCAACACTCGACCATCACTCCACCACTCTGAACGGGAGAACCAGGACGAGCCTTTAAGCTCACGCCAGCGTACGCGAACGGGGACATGTTTGTGTTTTCCAACATAACAAGATTTGAGAAACTTGTGGAAAATCGGGACCGCGGCAAGTAGTGGTGGTCTCGGTGATTCTCCGACGCGAACATTGGCCGAGATTCATTCATCCTAAACACGGCCGGATTCCATTTAAGTGGAGCACACACAAGAAGAGGTTCGCGGCGAACGATTCGGTGGGAGGACGGGTCAACATTGTCATACTTCGACCAGAACAAGAAACTTTGGGTGCAACTGGCTTACAAAGTACCAAGAGAAAGCTTCCGACCACTCTGTTCTTGCGTCGTAACCCAAGAGAAACGCGAATTTCAACACGAATGCCTGGTTCGAATGTAACATCTGATGAACGGCATATATATTTTCAGGTCAAAGAGCACCCCGTCAAAGATCAGCATTCCAACAACAAGGGCACCAGTGGGCGAAAAAGTCGCACATGGGGAAAGGGAACTAGCCAACCGTAAGTGAGTACACATTATACCGATTATGGTAGGGATTTAGGCTTTGTCCTCGCCTTCATATGTGATACTCTCGACACGCGTTGGCGAAAGGGTGGTGCTTGGTGTTGGAGTTTCTACAGAAACTTTAGCCTGCTGCTCTCAGTAGAACTGCGATCGTGTGCGAAAGCGTGCATATCGCTGCATGGGCTACTACCTCGCGAAAGCAGCGAAGCGAGTGTTGATGACCGTGTCTCCACTCCACGCTGCGGCACTACCTGCTACGGACAGACAGCACACCGACGAGTCCAAGTCCGCCGGACACAAAGCGAGAAAACATTTCCTTGACCAACAAACGCGGGGGAGAAGAGATGAACGTGGGGAAGGAGATGCAAGAGGAGGAGGAGGAGGAGGAGGTGGGGCACAAATTAGCAAACAAACGGCCCCGGACGACGGCAAGCGCCCAAGTGAGCGTCCTCCTCGCAGCAGGGCAAGCAACGGTATCGCTGGCAAGAGCACCGCTCACCCGATTCCGAGCGGGAATCCAACACCACCGACTGTCACGGGAGACCTACTCAAAGGTCAACCAAATTGTCGGGAAGAAATTCAGAGAGCGCGTCGAACGATGCTGACTCCAGCGATTGACAGGCGGCGGCGGCGGCCACAGTCTGCGGGAGCGACCATGACGACATCGGCCGCCTCCGCAAGGCGAGCAAACGGCGATGGAAGACGAAAGCTGATGTCCCCGGTGACACCGTCAGTGCCAGGAGAGGTAATCAAAGACCCCCGGGACAATATCGACGCATGCGTCAGCGAAGTCCATGGGATCGCCGCAAATCGCGAAACTAGAGGAAACGCAGTCCCGGCGTGCTGGAGGGCTATCTTTTCGCCCGGGCGGCGACCTCTACCGCTTGGCAAAACCAACGTCCCACCAAATACGACCAAGAAGGTGATTCATTTTGCGTTGGTGGACGCGTGGGGCCGGACGATGTATTCGGCACCAATACGGCATTCACGAACGTGTTGGATTTCGGGGGCTGCCGTATGGAACCCCTGCCAATTTACTCACATCCCACGGGACCCCATATGCCCAGGACTGCGGCAGATGTGTCCTTCCACCCGCAGTCTCGAAAAATCCACAGGTACTCATGCCTACCCTTTTTACTCGAGACAGAATCGATGTTATTTCCGTTTGGACACCTCGAGAGAAGAACGAAGAATTGTTTTCAATACACCCAACCACTGGCATTCTGTTGATTTTGCACCGCCTGCTTACGCGAAAGAAACCGGAACCACGGGCAGCGAGCAACCGCCGCAAGAAAGAAGAGGGGGGAGAGGAGGAGGAGGACGGCTCCTGGTACGGCGCATGGAATAATTCCAGCAGTTGTGATGACTTAGCCCTGGGGCTTATCGACAAGGACATGGAGCGGGCGACGAGGTGATACCTGTAAGCTTGTGGCGTTTACCAAGCTGTGGAGGTCGGACTGCCGAACACCATCGTAAAATATTCATTCAGCCGTTCCAAACTCATGGCCACACTTAGGTCGCTATGCTTGTATGTATGTACTTCGTCCGAGGAGATGGTGTTTCCAGTGGCTTCCTTCCCACGCTACGGTAGTCTAGCACCCCGGGATGATTCCACCTCCGAAAGGTGTTGACGGCTTTTCTGGTTGAAAATACCGATTCAAACGCCACCAAGCTGTTTCGCCAACTAGTTGCTTCAGGTATGTTGTTCGAGCCGACGTACTGCAATCAACTCTTTAGTCAATGATACTACATACTTCCGACGAGTATCTGCTGCTCAAGTGAACGCCTTTGCACGGCCGGGGTGGCACGCGGCGAGATTATTTCTGGGTTTGATGGCCGTGATTTGGGGCGTGCCTTCGGTTGCCGTCAACACTATTAACACCGCGCGGCGATGCCGCTTTGGATGCATTGGCAAGGGAGAAATCGCTCCAGCCTTGTGAACTTGTCAATTTACAGCATTTTTTGACGCAGCGCACACAACTTCACCAAGGCAAGTGCCCCTGTTGGAAACACGCGTATTACAGCACCTTCTCTTCCCTCTTGCTAAACTACAGACAGACCCCAGCGGCCGGCGACACCGCCCCAAGGCGGGCAGTTTACAGCCGGCGAGGAAAGCGAAGATCCTCTCGCCCGAAAACCGGAACCAGTGCGAAACTTTTGTTCACTCCGGACCCCGCTGGGAGTGAAACTAGAGCGCCATCCTCCTACCACGACCGGTCTCCGAGCGGCATGCACCACCACCACGGGCAGGCGAAGGCAGCAACGAGCTACACGCCAACGGCAAACAACCCGAGGAGGAGAGCAGCAACTACCGGGAGCCACGCCGGAAGGAGAAGCGAGTGGAACGAATCCACGCTTGTGGACGTCCTGCACACGCCAGACGCTCTGCTGCGCAAGCACCCGGGTTGGGACGTCGCGGCTGGAGCGGGAGGAACGCAGCCTGACGGGCGTTTAGGTCACCGAGGGGCGTTTTTCTTCGGGGTGTCTAGTACCGCGAGGACCATTACTACTCGAGAGACCAGCAGCGGCAGCAGCAGCGTTGCCGGAGGCCGCCACCCTTGAAAGCGGGCGAGGGAGCTTTGAATTCTCTGCGCATTTTTTCTTCTCCAGCACGAGAGTGCTGCAGATTTTTTCAGGGGTCGTGCGGTATCACCAGGAACGCAGTTTTTTCTTGTTCGCCTCCAATCTCCAATCCCTGTTGCCCAGTGTTCAGTTTTTGTCGCATCTCGGATTTGTGGTAAAATTGGAAGCCCTTAGACCTAGAAAGGCCTGCCAATAGCTATAAAGCAACCCGACTTCTTGGACGGTCTACTGGACATGGACGACACGGCCATGACTGCTGCAAACAATACGCACATCAACATGCTGAGCCTGTCCGGGATAACGAAGGAATGAAGAAAAAAGAAGCACTCGATACAACAAAAATGGCATCGTAACTTGCGTTGTTGGTGCTTCGACCATCGCCTTCATGGCTGGAACCAACCAACTGGCGCAAACTAGCGCTGAGTCATTCCCTCAACTACCGCACAAAACACGGGGGCATCCAGCACGTTAAAATAAATACGAATATATGTACGTGTTAACAGGTCAATTTCATGCATTCCGCGAGCAACGCGGGCGCCCGCCGGCCCACGTGTTACAAGGACGACAAACAACATTGCTATGATACAGATTACCCTTATCTGGACCCTCTCCCCCACGATGTAGCTCTTTCCGAGGGGGCGACATGTACAATTCGCTAGCGAAATAGAACCAAAAACCCGATTTCATTCGATTTAGGAGCACTCGCCGGATTCTCGATGCGACCAAATCACAAGGACTGCCCCATTTCGCGGGAACCGCGATTTAACCGAGCGAGACCGAGACCACTATTACCTAGTGCTAGAGAGAAAGAGAGAGAGAGCGTCGCGCCGAAACACTCATGCCCGTTTTGGTGTGCCCGTTTCTCGCCAAAGAAATCAATCCCTGCGCGCAGCATCGGTTCCTCTCTCTGCGCCCCCCCCCCTCCCCCTTACCACCCCTCTCTCTCACTCTCTCTCTTTCTCCCCCTTACTCTCGTATCTGCATATTTTTTCGGTTCCGCTCCGCGATTAAACAAGGAGCCACATCACGCCGGGGGGGCGAAACGCGAAACGCCCAAGCCGCTCGTCTTCATTGGGTCACCGTAAGGAGCTGCAGGCCTGCTTGGCATAGGAAGGGGGAATGGGGAGGGAATAAGTTTGCTGTCAGCTTAAGCCCCGCACTGTAGCAGCCGCCTCTGTGCCATGCTTGTGCCTCAGCACGGCAGCGGGCGATTGTGACCCGTCCTCACCAAATTGAGTGTGACGCCATGGCAACCGGGTAGGCCAGGGCTGCTTGACGGCGACACCTAGCTTCCTTGAGTGTTTTCGCGCACGCGCGAGACGGCACACCTTCGGCGTGACATCTAACACGAGATTGCATTGACCCTTCCCCGTGGAACGGATGAATATTTGATCGATATAAACAGTTCGATTTTGGGGACAGCAGTGTGAAGAGTGAACCGGCTTGACGGCTTTGGCATCTGCACCTCCGGGCGAAAACCCTCGACAGAAAAATATCAAAAAAATATCCACCAAAAAAGGCACACCTTACGCGTGACATCTAACCCGATATCACAGTGCCGCTGTCCCGTGGAACGGACAAATATTTGATCGATATGTACAGTTCGATTTTGGGGGCAGCAGTGGAAGAGTGAAGCGGCTTGGCGGCTTTGGCATCTGCATCTCCGGGCGAAAACTCCGACAGAAAAAATATCAACAACAAAAATATGAACTATGAAAACCTATCTAGGGAGCGCCGACTCGACATTTTGCGTCCCCAAACTGAAAATCGACAAATCCCACAAGCAAAACACACCCAACCTATGCATAATACGAAGTATTTTTTATCGACTGCTCATTCCTGGAAATAAAGCTCAAGTGTCTGGAGGTTTGCGTCCATCGTATACCACTCTTTTTTTCCACTGGAAGACTAACCCCTTTCATTGGCCAGCCTGTTGGCGCGCGCGGTAACAGCAATCTATAGAAACACACAACAACACACTCCTCAACCCCCCCCTCCCCCCCCCAATAAAAAAAAACTCATCGCGTTCTCTCACTTCTGCGAGAGCTTGCTGCGTTCCCGCCACCCGCCCCAACCACTCCTCCAGCTCGGCAGCCACCGCCGCCACCTTGGCCGCCTCCGCGTCCGCCGATCTCTCCGCCTCCTCCGCCAGCACCAGCAGCCGTGCGCGCTCCGCCCGCTTGAGGTTCATCGTAGACTCTCTTACGAGCTCCGTGGGATCCCGCCCCCCGGGCAGCGGGGTGGTTTCTCCGATCAGGTCGCTGCGTTAAGGGGGG